TGTTTTGAGTGGAAGAAAAATGTCTCATATGTGAAAGAGTTTAAATTAGTTCCAGTTTGAACATTCTAGACTTTGAGCAAATCTTTCACACATTTTACCTACTGCAGTCAGTCCATTCACTACTTGTAAAACCTAAAGAACTCACTGATATAGATTTTATATATAGGAAAGCTGTTAATTTCCAAATGTTTTACTGGTTGCTCTTATGTACCAGGATAACAACATTGCTTCTGTCACAATTCTATGATTATTTCCTTTACTGCTATGTCCACTACTATGATAATTGAGTACTTGGTCTAAAATGTCTAAATTTTTTGTTCTGATTTTATACAAGTAAGAAGTGTACTGCTGCAGTAAACACTTTGTGTTTCCTTTCATCAATAAAAACAAAAATCATTCTTATATATGAAAAAAAAATTTGATAAAAATGTTAATTTTTATGTTTCTACTCCTTTTGCACCAAAATACTCAGTCTTTAAAGCCAATTTCTTCAGACTGTCTTTATTATGTTTGTGAATCGAAGTCCTAGAAAAACAAAAAAAACAATATTGGAGATTTTTATAAAATCTTTAAGATTTCTTTGAAATTTTAATCATAGTTGTATTGATTGCTTCTCTGTGGCTCTAATGCTAAAATACAACTGAATATTGCACAGCGTTAATTGAAATAATTCTATAATCTCAAATATTTATATAAATTACAAATAAATGGTTACCAATCAGAACATTAAGATTCATAAGCATAATAAAGTTAAGTAATATAAAATTTGTTGAATGTTCTTTGTTCATTGGAATATTCTAAACATTAAGACTTTTTTGTAATAAAATTCAAAACAAGACTTCTGTGTTTTTGAAATACATGATATACTGGGTAAATTTAGTAAAAAGTACTCAGATTTTAACTTTTATCATTTTTTGACATCATATTTATATACTTTTATGAAATGTGCATTGAAAAAAATTTGGCTTTTAATGATGTTTCATTGTAAAGTCAAATAGAAAACTCATAAAAATTAGATTTTGTTAGATTTCATTAAATAATATTTTCTAGAAGATTCTATAACTTCCTGTTCCAAAACCAGAGAGAATTCAAGACTGCTGCTGGATGGCTTGAATTGAAATTAGCACATATGCTTTTTGACACCCAGGAGTATGATAGGATCATGGTAAATTATGACCCAGATGAAGAAAAAAGGTATTAACATTTATCTAACAAATAAATACTTATCACTGCCTTCTGCCAAATGGAGTTATTTGTCCTTATTTGAAACCTGTTTTGATCCAAGTGTAGGGCTTAGTTATTTTGGAATCATGCCAAACTGTTTTAGAAATCATAAATATACATCCAGATGATATCTACACTGCTGGCCAAAATTTTAAGGCCAATGAAAATAAAGAAAAATATATCTTTTGCATTGTTAGACACAATCACTTATTTGAGTAAAGCTTCAAAAAATAAGAAAAATAAAAATTTTAAACTTTTTTTAGCGTGTAACCATGTCTTATATTTGGGGTAGATACATTTCATTCTATATTCTACTATTGAATTTTTCAAGGAGATTGGTATTTTATTCAGTCATCATGCTGGAAGCACCGATATATAAATTTAAATATCCAATTTTTACTCATTTTCTATCATACCCCCCCCACACACACACACTCCTAAAGGAATCCTTATTATCACACATGAGGTTCTATTTGTATTAAATGTCTTTATTTTCCAACAAAAATTTCACTGTGATAATTCTAAATTTAGTCTTATATTTTTTCTGCTTGCTTTGTTTCAAGCCCCCCACACCTACTCAAGGGTAACTTTAAAAATAAACTATTGTGCTAATAATATAGGTCATTCTAATGATCAATAAAAAAACAAAATATATATATATATATATATATATATATATATATATATATATATATATATATATATATATATATATTTACTATTAAATACTTTTAATATTGAATAGCTAATGAAAAAGTCTTTACAGCTTCTCTTTATGATTATCTCAGTTGTAGAAATAAAGAATTTATTTGGATGCCTTTTGAAACTTCTATTCTAAAATAAGGTTAATTTCAAAAGTTTTCCTTTTTATTTTAAATAAAAACTGGGTTGTGTCAGAGAATCCTACTAGTTTTACATAAACATTACTGCCACATAGAAAAAAAAAAATTAATGTTGCGAACAGAACTAAATTCTTGTATAAAGTTACATCTTTGCAGTTTCTCTTTTAAATAACCTCTACACTCCTTTTTCTAAGTAATGGATTCTGTAAAGTAAAAATGGATGTTGGTGTATTTGCTCTTATGAACATGAGATCAGTCATAAACACTTTATTCTGGATCTTTTTTTAAAAATGCCTAATAATAAGATTTTCTCAGAAAAGTTACATTATTTTGAAATGGTGTGTTTTCTTAACTTGACTATCTAGAGCCAGAATTATATTAAAAAAAAATAAAGAGGTTTACAATGAAAAATCAGTTTTAAATTAATCTAATAAAATATTAAAAACATAATTGTTGAATTTTTATAAAAAATAAATGTATTAGTCAAGTTAGTAAATAAATTATTATATTTTGGTTTAAATTTTAATCTTAAATTGGCTCATTTTACCATCCATGCCAAAGAATTTTCTGATTTTGAAGCATTGTTTATTTTGTAATATAAGCTTGTGATAGGAGCTGCTAAATGACTTCTTTTTTTTTTTTTTTTTTTTTTTTTTTTTCTTTTTTTTTTTTTTTTTTTTTTTTTTTTCTTAGCAGGTATTGTGAAAGCAGTGAGAAAAGGGATAGTTTAATGTCTTGATTAATACTTACTTTTGATTTATGGCCTAAAGTGCTATAACAATTACTACCAAAAATAATTCTTTTAATGATATACGAATCATTTAAAGAAAATGTGTTTCAAGAAATTGCCATTATCAAAAAAAATATTTTAAAGCGAGCCATTAGGAATCAAATTACTGGGGACAGATCCACAACAAGCAAATGCACATTAATATGCAGAGGTTTTGTTTCATTTGAAGGACAAAGTATAAAGATAAAATTAAATTCAGTTTTGTTTTAATTAGTAACAGCCAGACTGATCATCCAAAAAAAAAAAAACTGAAAAAAAATTACTTATTATCAGCAGTTGTTTCCTTTCCTATAAATCCATTAAAACTTATGTATATCAGTTTTTTCAGCAATAAAATTGCTTTAAGCAACTAATACTGGTAACTTTTTCATGGTTTGTAAGAAAGACATGTCTTCTAAAAGAAACCCAATATTGTAAAATTTATTGAGTGATGGAAACATGATAGTGTTGAATTTTCCACATTTTCCAAAGATGAAATAATAAAAAAAATACCTTAATTCTTTGCTCTCTGCCAAAGATTTCTAAATTAACATTAGTCATATTTGTAAAAAAAAAAAAACAAAAAAATTACAATAACAACAAATAATCCAAAAGGTTTTCAGTAAATACTGGCCAGTGAAATAAATAAAACTTGTTTGAAGACTAGCAAGTCTCTTAGAAAATAAAAATACGCACAAAGATTTACACATGAAGACTGGATTTTATGAATATTTGCATATATATTGCATCATCGTAGAAACTGGTAGGTATTGAACTTTCATACCCGTGATCCAAAATCTATTTAAATCAAACATAGAAGGTAATTCAATTTTCACAGACTTTATTCTCTCATTTTCTTTTTTAATACAATAGTCTAAAATGAAAAATTATTTTCATCTAATATTTAAAAATAGAGATCTTAATGTTTGGCATTTTTTTCATTTCTTAAAAATGTTTCTATGAATAGAAGATAATGTAAATGTCTGATATACTAACATTTTAAAAATCTATAAAAATTCCACTAATTGTTAACATTTAATAAAATATTCTCTACTTATCCTTAAATGTTTATATAAAGAAAATAGCAAAAATATTTTCTTTAATGTAAATATCCCATTCCTTATAAATTTTCAGTAAAACCTGTTTGATCATGAAACAAGCTTTACTTGTAAAAGAGAATTTTATAAGGAATGAAAATCGGTTTCATTTTAAGAAAAAGAAAAACAAGTTTATTTTTTAAATTTATGTTGTAGACTTACATATAAAAAAAAACATTCACACTAAAAATGTTAAAGATTTTCAAAAATTTAACCGAATTTAAAAAGTATTTCAAGTTTGTTTTTTGATGGCCATGATCATGCTTGAAATTGTCATGAGTCCCATAGCCCATAAGGGTTGTAGGGACACCATATGTATGCAGCCATAAATCTATAACTGCCTTTACCAAGAGCATTAGCAATGAAGTGAATTAGAACTAATCAAAATTCAAACTCTGGTTGCTAATTTCATTTTCCATACCATTCACACATGCAATGCCATTAAAAGGATTCAAATCAGAGAATACAGTTTTAGGTCCTTTTAGTTTTTTTTTTTTTTTTTTTTTTTAAAAAAAAAAGAAACCTTTGTTATTAAATAATAATGATTATCATTCTAAACTTGACTTTTTTTTTTAGAAGCTTCAAAAAATAACAGATCCAAAGTTTAACTTAAAAAAAAATGAATAAAATGTAAAAATATCTTAAAGTTAACAAAGTTAATGGTGTCTTAATAATTATGAAATAAAATAATTCTTCATTAATCATTATCCAATAGAAATTTAATAAATTTTTTGTTAATTAGTAGATATTAATTGATCATCTATGGAGGGCCAATTATGCAATAATCAGATATTTTTAGCTGTTATCATGTAGAATATGTAAATGTCTGAAAATACCTAATCCTCAAAAACAAAGTAAAAACAGAACAAATTAACATGATCATAGCTGTTAATATTTTTATTAGAGAAGAAATTACTTCCCATACACAGGTATTTTCCCTTGCACTATGAATATTTCTGAAATGTTTACTAATTCAAATTGCAGTCATTTTAAAATTAATTTCCAATTCAATTTTTTGGTGAAGTATTGCAACATCATCATTGGTAAATATGACTGATTATTTCTGCCTTAATGAATGATTCCTTCATTGTCTTGTCTTGTCTTTGAGGATGGCATTTGTTTCCAGTTGAAACTGTTATAAATTAAAATAGTATTACTTGTTTTTTTTACTTCTTTTTTCTCTTTCTTTTCTTCATTATTTTGAGTGCAATGAGCTGAACCAAGTGCATGTTTTTTATATTTGCACATCTCTTTCGTTTTTGCTAAAAAAAAAAAGTAAATAAAACATAGCTGAACAGAACTGGTTTTAGTTTTAAAAGTTAATTTTTTTACAATGAAAAATCTAATGCTGTTACAGTAAAACACACTACAGTATCAGTTTTATGCAATGATATAAACATTTATGGTGTCATTTTTTTTTTTATATCTTACTTGCCTTTTCAACAGATGAATTTCACAGATTTTAATTGAAAGCCTGTTGAAGTTTTGTTTGTAGAGGAGAATATATCAAATTCACTACAAAGAATGCTTGACATTTTAAAACAGTTGAGAGATTGCTTTTGTTTTTTTACTTATAAATTTTTATTCCTTGTCTTTAGTCTTGTATATGATGATGTTAATGATGATGAAGTCTTGTGATTATATGCAATTGTATGCAAATGCTTATGAGAGATCTGATTGTTTTTCTTACCTGGATGGGAATTTTGCTGAACATCAGACAACAGATGATATAAGATTGTAGGAGCTTTTGGTGAATCAGGCAAAAATTGATTTTTGCTATTTTTAAGCCATTTTGACTTCTGAACCAAGGTTGTTACTTCTGAAAAATAGCTCCATAATAAATATACATAATAGAGTTGAAGTGAAATAATGAAAAAGATTAAAAGACCATGCTTTCATCATTTAATAATATGTTTGTTAGGCACATTAATTGCAACTTGATAACAATAAAGAAGGCATTACAACCAGAAGGACTTCATGATAGGAATGAACTATCAAAGAACAATAATGATCTACTGAAGAAATATCATTATGTCTGTGAAAGGCATTGAACAGATGGTTTCAATAATACATTAAATATATTTCACCCCAAATTAATGATTAGCCAACACTTAACAAATCAGAGGACTTCTCTGGGGATAAAAAATCTTTTACTGAATTTGATATTTTCTCTTGAGTATTTGGTCTCCAAAGACTGTTCCAAGTGGAAATGTCAAATGCCAACACATTTAATGCACACAGTTGATTTAAATGCCTCTGATGGTATCTCTATTTTATTCTCACAAAATCTGCAAAACTAGATTGGTACAATTCTAATATTTCTCTTTTCAGACATTTGGTACATAGAAAGTTTATTGGGTAAAAGAGATATGAGGAAAGGGATTTGTATGAAAACTAAGAATTATATCAATATAGACTCTTAATTCAATTTGAAGTTAGTGAGACATGACAAGTTATTTTTCGGAATGTATCATTGACAACAAGCTTACACAATTCCATTTTCATCGTTTTTAATAAACCAAATTGTAACTAATTTCTTTAGAATTGCTTGTAGGAATCAGACTGACTGAATCAGTATAATATACGTGATTCTTTGGTCTTTTATACTAGCAAACTCTTTTTGATCGTCCTCACTCTCTAGCTTAGGAAACCAGCTTCATCATTTTATGGCAATTATAAACATTGTTATTATTATTATTTGATTGTTATATGTCTTGACTGTGTCCATTAAATATAAAAATGTTGTTTCATATTTCAGCTCTGATAATTATGCAAGAAATAAATATTCAAGAATTCATATCATGAGACCTTAACATGAGAGAAGCCATTTTGTACTTACCATTTCGGTCAAATATTTTTAAAGATGGTAAGCTTGAGATTACTCTGACCTTATAATTGGGTTCAAATGCCACAGGGTTATTAAAAAGGTCTGCCAAAAAAAAACAATTCAAACACAAAATAATTATAATTAATAAAATATATCAAAAATCACTTCTTGCCTACTCAGTCATTGATATATGTAAATTCAAAAGACTTTTATGGTACATAACAGAGATATTTATTGAACTTAATTTAGTCTGGCACAAGGTCAAAAAAAGAGGAGCAACTACTAGGATCAACTTCACTAATCTGTGGAATTGTTAAACATCACTTGATAACAAGTGCTCAAAAATATTTACTAAGCTTTAGTTAGTCTAACACAAGGTTACGCTGTAGAAGTAGCCTGTGAGAATGAAATTCTTAAATAGGTGCCTTTTAACTAAGCATAGCTTTTGATCACAAAATTGGATGCTTAATGAGGATCAAACTCGCCATACTAGTGAATTACTCTGCAAAACAATTTTGTTAACCATCATACTTCAGCATATACGCTTAGTAACTAAGAAGACTGATGCAACACAATCTTCTTTACCTCTATTTTGGGGCTTCTGCTTGACTGAATCCACTTCCAATATTCCTAAATATTCATTATTTTCTTTCCAAATAAATGTCTGGATAATTTCCTCATTGGATAATTCTATTCCTTGTATTGTTTTTGCACATCACTAGAATTTCTCAACTTCATTCAGATCGGAAGATTCTGTCCGTTTTTATTAAGATTTCAAATCCTTTTTTGTTCTTTGCAACAGTTTTCAAGTCATTCATATATATGGGTGTAGTTTTTCCTGTGATTTTATAAATCTATATCCTACAATAACAGTTTTGTTAAATATAACTGAATGGTATCATTGCTAAGATGTAGTACAGATAGTCCTTTTAGTAGATTATTCTTATTGTCCTTTTACAATTTTAGTAATTTTCACTTCTTCTTTTTTTAATCCTTTTACCCCCAAGCAAAACGATAATTACCCCACTAAGACGCAAGGGGCTATTGGGAGTGAATGAAAGAATTTAGGAGAAGGAACTGGAAACCCAATCCTAAAGAGAAAACAATGCATAAACCTCTACTCCTGTTCAAAAGATGGGAAAGGAGTGTGAACCAGGCAATAAGCAAACATATCTACTCCTATTGATAAATATTCAAGTTTGTGGAATCATGTCATAGTCTTTGTTGTAGTCTGTCCAGTTAGGATTTTCCAGAGTAGAAGTAGGCATATTATAGGCCTGTAATTACTTATACCTTTTGAAACATCATTTTAAATCAATATAGTATTTCTCTTCAACATCTATTCAGGGTTATTATTGTTAAATAAATTACAAAATATTTTATAAACAATTATCTTGATGTGCTCTTTCAAGTAAATCTAAAGATATTCAAATTTTGTTAATAAAAAAACAACACTTCTGGACGGTCTCCTTGTTTAAGTTGGTGAATGCTGCCATAATCCTTGCCTTCAGTTCATCTTTGGTGTTACGCAGAGTTTTGTTGGTCGATCACTCAGCTGCACCCAACATATAATAATCAAGGGGAGTTATAGTCTGGAAAGTTAGGTGGCCAGATGTAAGGGGTGATGCGTCCACAGAAATTTTGCTGATAGCCATGAATTGGTTCTCCTGCTTGTGTGGCGCTCTTGACCTAGTGTGGCTACCTACTTAAAGCACCTGATGTAGGTCTCCGTGTTGATTCCGAAGCCCTGTGGGAAGATAAATGGAATCATAACATCACCATCATTAGTGATCACGCCAAACACCATAGTAATCATCATTAGACTCATCCAACTCTTTCCGAATCCTCTGCGCTGCCCTCATATTGACACCAAACACACTGAATTATTCGTATTGGAGCTTCCGGTTCGAATGCCAAGCTGTACAGCGTACCGTTTCCAAATTTATAGCGGGGTGAATTGTGTTATGGTGCACTGACCCTATTATAATGTCGACAAAAACAAACACGCATGCACGAAATTAAAAATATAAAATGGCGACAATTTACCCACCGTACCCTGTCTTTGTCAGTTATTTCAATGTATTCAATAAAGACTTTAACAAGCGATTTTTTTCATATCTGATTTTCTTACAAAGAAAATAGCATTCTGATTAGATGATAAGATTAGGAAAAAACGCAAGAAAATCAGTGATTGTAAATAGAGTTGCAATATGCGAAAATATTTTCATTGGAAACGAAGTCGTGTTTTTTAAAACCGATAATTTTTATTAGAATAAATTTTCAATAAAAAGCGATCGTTGCCGTTTTGATATTTATTAATTTATAGCAGAAACCAAGTGTCTAACTTCAGAGATTTTTTTATATTAAGTTTTTAATTCGTTCCTCAACATTTCTTCTTCTTGAAGAAGAAAATTTCAAGTTTAATATTTAATTATTGTTATTTTTATTTATTTGCTGTTTGGTATTTTTAATTAATAATATTCATATTTATTAGCGTCATTATATTCTCAAAATGACTTCACTCGAAAAAGCAACTCCATAAAAACAAAAGTTGTCTATGAATAATGATTCTATTTCTAACTTGTTGTCAACTGAAAGTACTCAGTAACGTAATTTGTCTATAAGATAATAAACAGAAATACGACCTTGACAATTGGCCTCTCCTTCGAATGCACGCAAAAATAACTGTAAACATTCTGTGTAAACATTCTCAAACAATAGTAGTCGTTGCTTTACTGGAACGCTCAACATTGTCTCAGATTTAATTTGTTCAAAGTCTAACAATTTGCCAACTTTATCCATGCAATGTTATCCGAAAACATTTTTCATTTTTCTTAAATAAATATCCTTTCATATGCTGGGTTAGATGAAAAATCAGAGGTAAACAGAAAATTGAAATTCACGTACTTAATATTTGCAAGCAGTACATATTCCTAAATTCATGAAGGACATTTGAGAGGTTGACAAGGAAGTTGTTGTGCAGGAGAAGCACTTGTAAAGATTTGAGATGTTGCAAGCAGCCAGTCACAGAATAAATATTGTTGTCATGGAGGTAGAGTTCTACAAGAAGGATGTTAGATTGGAGACAGCTACCAAGGTGACAAAGCTATAAAAGAAAAAAAATAGAAATTATCTACTGTTCAATGAATGATTAGTTCAATATTATGATTCAATATTTGGAAAATTATATTTATTAACAGAAACAAGTATAAAAGTGAGAAAAATAGAGAAATTTATAACCTGTTACTCCGGGAAGTCATCACAGGCACCCCTTCCAAATTCAAAATGTAGTATTAATATTAACAATGGTGAGAAAAGAAAAAAAAAGATTGGAAAGAGAGAAAGGAAGAGGGCATTTCGAAGGAGGAAATAATGTATTGGGTCAGGACAAAAGTTTGTAGCGTTTTTTAAATGAATTTCAAAGGCAATATTTAGATATTTGTACACGGATATATTCGACTAAATATATGCTATTTTGTTACACTACAGGTGCAACGTCAGGTGAGTATGACAGGTATTGTAAGATATCCTAGTAAATCTCTACCAATTTATGCCGAGTTTTCAATGAGATCTGAAAGAAAAGCCTCGCCGAGAAATAAGAATACGAACCCTGTTTTCCATGTTACATGTATTTGTTTTATTTAGGGCTTCACCTGCTCATACATGGGGATAGGAGTGTTACTGGGGACAACTTCTGCTATGTCAGCTCTTCCCCCTACGAATTCCTCGTCCATCTACTCATCCCGATATAGTGACTAGCAAATACAAAAATGGTTGCCTCGGAACCGCGACACGAACACGCTCGTTTCTCGCCAAGGACAGACCAGCACTCTCGACGATCCCAAGCATGACCGTTAATCTAGATCAACACCTAGATGTAACCTATTACCGGTTTTGTTGGCACTTGAACTGCAAAAATCCATCATCCACCCCTTTATGTACGTGTTACCCTACACGGTCTAAGTGGATACCACTTAGGAGAGCGAACTTCAAAAGGAACTATCTTTTGGTCCAGCAAACAGGATTACTTGAGATCAAGACAAAACCGTCTCTTCTCCTTCTACGTGGGTATACGGTTAAGTACAGTATATGTTTGAATTCATCAATTTATTTTTCTTAATGAGCCCGTAATACATAATAGTCTTCCAATCCCACCAAATACACAGCATCACCTTCTTCGGATCAGCCTACAGAATGGTTACTTTCATTTCCACCCGGAACATTTATTTTTACTCCACATTGAAACAATCTATTTTTCATAGCCTGTGATTATTCTTATTGGATCGTTTTTGATGTGTTTGAGAAGAAAATCGCAGATGGAAATGTGTCCCATTAAATTATTTCAGTTAAATCGTGAGTCACCCAAACATCGCAGTGATTCACGTGATTCAAGTGTTTTCAAATGCCTTACAACGCTAGGTGGCGTATCTCTGTGATGTTTCGTGTCGTATGACCTAGATTATTTTTAATCATCGTTATCAACGGCTTACTGGAACGTTCTCGGTCTTCCAGAAGAACATTTCCATTTCTGAAGCTAATGAACTACTTATGAACAGTATTCTCAGCTATAGCACCAGCTTCACAAACAACACATACCTTTTAGTTTTTTTGTACAGCGTCTATTTTTTTCCTTTCCGGAAATAAAAGCGCATCAAATGACGAACTTTTCCTCTCTTTAATCTCTAAAAGCATTTAAAATTCACAATCCGCGCACGAATCATATTGAAAGACGTGCTGAAATGTCACGCATATATATATATATATATATATATATATATCATAAATTTCATCCATGTGTAAAACGAAATTACATATTCAAACTGTTATAAAATAAAATAAGACATATCTCGGCTGATTTGCAGGCAAATAAACTAATATACTCAAGAACGAGAGCCGGATGTGAACGGGACAAGGCCCCATCACAAAATGACCATTATCGTCGTTTACGCATAGGCCCGACGCACGAGTTCAGGTCGAAAAATAAAATAATATTTGAAAGTGTTTCTATTTTTCGACCAATAAAAATGCTTCCCTCCTAATTATGCTCGCGTCGTTTTTCGAGCCTGTTAAGCCATAAAAAACGCCATAAAAGGGATCACACAGGGAAGTACTGGCAGTCAACAGGAGGCCAAGGAAGAGACCTGTCATGGTCAGTCAGCAGCAGTCAACAGGAGGCCAGGGAAGAGATCTGTCACGGTCAGTCTGGGCAGTCAGCAGCAGTCAGCAGGAGGAGCGCCACGCCAACCAGTGAGAACTACTATGAGAGATCAACCCAGATCGGTAGCCGGCTTATGAACTATACCACAAGGTAGCTGTCCCAAACCCACACGTTCCTATTGAAATAAATCACGTAAATCTATTTCTGCTGTTGTCGTATTTCTTTCTTGCAACCATACGCTTGTCTATAACAAAACGCTGCATACTAAAAAAAACGCTACGAATTTTTGTTCCAACCTAATATTAACAAATAAAAAATCCATCATTAAAATTCAGGAATTTTTCATCATAATTAAAAATATTAACTTTATAGTACTCAAGCCGACAATATTCCGCCATCTGTTGTATCATTATGGTGTTTTTCTAAACATAATCTGGAAAAATTATTTTGGAGAGAAAAGGATTTAGTTGGGCTCCATTAAACCCCCTAAAACATAATAGGATAGATAGAAACAATTCTCACGTAGCAGTTGATGTTTTTTCTCAATGGTCAAAATATCCAGGTAGCAACATAAAAAGTATGTGTAATGGAGTGTGTAAAAGATTCATTTTCTTTACCTTTGTTTCTCAAACAATCTATAAGCATTTTGTTTACTTTATGAAAGATTATTGCTTATGCCTGTGTATATGTGTTTGCTGTTTACGTTGATGCACGCTTCATATGTCAAATCGAGTGTACAATGTAGAGTTACGTACGATTCTACGTAATAGGCGAGTATGTGTAAAGTGTGTATGCATATATGATGCTTAGTTGCTGAAGAACAGGTAATAATTCCAAACATATTTGCAAGAAAATTGTTTTCATTACTTGCTCGCTCACATATTTTTCCTCTTAACCACAAATTCTTAACAAACGTTTTATTTATTTTTAGACATTGTGAGTTTGCCATCAAGTCAATTGTTTTGCAAAAATACAAAACTCACGAACGAATACCAAGAAGCAAAATCCTAAGAACGAAACCCTCTTTGCTCAAGGCCTCTTTGCATGAACACCAAGTGGTTAGATAAAAATGTCCCTTTCTTTATAAAGTCCTTCTTTTCCCAAGAATTTGTCAATCTTGAGAGAACTCATACGATTTCTTAATAAAATGCTTATTAATAATTCACTGTTACATTGATTAATGAAATTGCTGATTGAATGTAAGTGTGCGTGTATGCTAAGCATGCCAATAACAAAGTGACATGTGTTTTTCTTTGTTTCTTGTTTTATTAAAGTATCAACATTAAAATTTTAATAAAGGTTGAACACTGCTTCAGAAGCTTTTTATTAAATTCAAATTTTAATGAGAATCGCTTCATCTCACTTTGTCTCAGAGCTTACAAACCGGAGACGAATAGTAATTTACTAAGCGGAGCTTTTAGATGTGGCACAAGGCCGAAAGTATTGAGCACACAGTGAGGATCGAACTCACTATTCAGTTGTAATTGATCTAATGAGACAAACTTATTAACCATTACACCACATCGATGTGTCTGAGCCGCAGATGAACTATATACTCTCACAGAGCCGATTCTGCTGATAGACTAACTAGGCAGTACGCTAAAGATGCAGACAAAAAGGGAAGAAAATTCAAGTATAGGAAGCATAAAAATCAGAGGTGGGGAGTGCAGGAATCATTTTTAAGGGTTACACTTTTCTAAAATTAGATATCTAAAAAAAAAAATAACGAAAGAGACATAATAGGTATTTGTTCATAATTGAATTTTTGTAATTACACATTTAAACCCAGTTTCTATTTATTAGGTGAAGAGATGAGAATTGTTGCTATTAATCTTTATGATGCTAGACGAAGTAGTGGCTCTGTATCAGATACAGGCTGTTGATCGTGGGAGTTAAGCTCACTAAGTACCTGTGTCCATGTCGTGAACATTGGCCCGACACTTGTAGTATTTGTGAAGAAAAATTTTAAAAGTCTATATAAATTATGATTTGGCAAAATTAACAAATTAAATAAAATCAAATTATAGAGGACACATTATTAGAACATATTCTATTAATTAGCTTTGGAGACAAAAAAAACTTTTATTGAAAATAACTAATAAGATACGATATCCCTACTGAGTGGATACCAACTTAAATTAACTTATAATTAACGGAAAAAGTACCCAGCATTTAAAACCTAAAATTATTAATCTGCAAAGTTTCAGCTTTTAAGTTATTAGAAATTGTATACCTTTCAATTAACATATATTCAACGCGCGGTTTTTCTGTCTGCTACTACGTCCACACACCAAATATAAATAAAGCACAACGTATTAAGTAGAAATCCGCGTGATAGTCTGAGTAGTAGTCAGATGTAGAGTCCGAGTTGAAGTAATAAGAAGTAGTAAGAACTCATCCTGCGTCTGGTCTATTTTTGTCATACTAAAACTGTCTTCATAAGAAACGATTTTTGTAAAACACCACAACAATTTCTGGAATATAAAATTTTGAATTTACACTTTATTTGCTTTCTTTTCATTTCCTTTTCTTTTTACTTTATAGACGAGCTGAATAAGTTAAGCAATTCCGAGCCTGGTTACCTAGATAGTTGACTGCTTAGGAATCCCAAACAGTGTAAACGTGAATGTGTGGGTAGTATAATGGATAACGGATTGAAATTGAAAATCAGAGAGCCGAGTTCCAATTCCTATTGGGTTGTCTCTATTTACTTACGCGCAGATACCCTTGAGAAAGGTATGAATCCACCTCGTCTCCCCTATGAGCCAATTAGTTGGACTTGTATCAATAAAACATTATCTCCAAAAAAATTTTACAATCTAAAACTATTTTCTGATTTTAAATTACCTGCAAAAGGTTGGTAAGCCGTAAAAAGTAAATCAACCAATCAATATTAACAGTTACCGATACTGATCAAAAATGCCTATCGTAATGCGTTCTTTACTCATTTTACTGACTTGAAACTGTTAGAATTAGTCTTAGCTTTGCAACTGTTATTGAATAAATACTTTTATTAATTACTTTGATCATTGAAGAAGTTTTAAATAACCATTAAAGCGAACGTGAATCCAATGCGTTCATTTCATAAATTTAAAAGCAAAATCACTTGACCATCAGTTCTCATGTTTTAAATAGTTCATAGTTCATTGTTTATAATTAGCTAAACTTTTCAACACTAACAATACTGTTAGTTACTGTTATATTTTAATCAATTTGTATTGATGTGATTTTATATTTTGTTCAGTTATTTCTGAATAATAAAAAAATGATCTCCCCCCGCCAAAGAAAATGCTATGAAGGAAGCAGAGCAAGAGCGATTCTTTTTAAATTTACTTCTGTGGACAAAAAAAACTAAAAATCAAGAATTTCCATGTAACGTAACTGGACTGTTATTGAAGTAACCGTACTACTACTACTACTACCAGTAGTACTACTACTACTACTACTATTACTACTAATACAAAATGATGCTGATACTGAGAAAGAAGATTCCCAAATTAGAGATAGTTCTGAAAAACATTACAAAATTGGTCAAGAATAACAAAATCGGCTGCAAATTTTGCAATGCTTGATTGCATTGGTCAAAGTTCTTGGCTGGCAAATCTTGTCATTCGGTGTTACAAGTGAAAAGTTTAAGTACCCTATATTTAGGTAGAAATCCTTCGTTGAAACATGTTCTATTAACTACAATATGACGTTTTTAATGAGTTTCATCTGGTGTCGAATAAGTTGTTTGATGTCAGGTGGAACTTTACAAAGAAACTAATCCCAAATATCATTGATCTTTGTCAATGAAAGACGGTAGTAAATCGAGAGTAAGCCAGTGTAACGTTTATGTTGTTAACGGTTTGATGTTTGAAATGAATATGAGTTCACATGCTATGATCGTGGAATAGGTTTAGCATCGCTTGGCAAAAATAGTTAAGGCATTAACTAGTGCGCGCCTCGATAGAAAATAATTATTGATAGTAAGCTGTTTTCTTTTCATGCAAAAGTCTTCCAAGATTTCTAATCGTTTTTCTTTTTTTTCAGTTGGAGGACAAAGTAATGTTACATTGTGAACCCAAATCTCACGATAATTAAAAAGCGCGCCTTGGATGTGTGTTAAATGTTTTATGGCACTTTGCTCAGAGAGATGACAGGTTAATCTTCTCGAGATAAATGTTGTGCTATAACCAATATGTATTAATTTTTCTTATCAACAGAGACACAGTTTCGTAAACAATAAGAGAATTGACATTTTTAGAAAGTATTTGCGTGCGTAATTGAAGTGCACCTGGTTACTGTAAAATAATATTATTTTTGTTGTGGTTAAATCGGGTTTATTATCTGTGTTAATTGTATGTAAAAAATAATTTTATTTGTAATTAGGAAGACCATTATCACTTCTTGTTCTTCAATGTACCGCTTCCCTTCAACACATAGGCAATCATGACTCCCTACAACTTTCTGTTTTCTGTAGCTCTTAGCTGTTTTTCTCTTATTTTTTTCTCGTGCCTTGTTCCATCATCCATTCATACAAGCTCGCTTCTTTAACCATGTGTCTCTTGCAAGGCAATTCTGAGAAAATTAGCATTGGCGGCCACAATTTTAACAACATAAGACACGCAGATGACACAGTACTGATAGCAGAAACAGAAAAGAAATTACAAAATCTCCTACAGAAGGAAGCGACGGAGAGTGAGAAGAAAGGACTAAGCATACAAGAAGACAGAATGCATGGTCATCAGTAAGAGGAAGAACCCGAAATGCGTTTTGTAAGAATGCGGAAGTTTAAATATCTGGGAAGCGTTTTGACAGAGGACGGTAAGTGTGACACTGAGATCCGTAGACGTATTTGGATGGCCAAGGACACATTCCAAAAGCTGAGTAGAGTATTACGAGAGAGGAGGATTTCTTTGGTAACAAAGAAATGAATACTGAGGTGTTACGTGACATCTGTTTTTCGTAACGGCAGCGAATGTTGGACGATTTCCTCAAAGTTGAAGAAGAGACTCGAGGCGACAGAGATGTGATTCTGCAGAAGGATGCTAAAGATATCATGGACCGAGCGTGTGAGCAGCGATGAGGTCTTAGAGAGGATACAAACAAGGAGGAGACTTCAGCTGCCTCTTCCTGAGGCAGCTGAAGACACATAATGAGGAAGGAAGGCTTGGGGAATCTGATACTCACGGGTCGAATAGAGGGAAAAAGAGACAAGGGAAAATAACTCGTGATATAACTAATGGGCTTAAGCAAATGGCTGACAGAACATGGCCTGGAGGAGCCCGGCAGAGTGAAGGAACTTGTTGAGAGCTGCAAGAGATAGTGGGAGGTGGAGAGCCATGATCGCCTACGCCCTAAAAGAACATGACAGATAAAAAGAAAAGAAAAACATTTTAAGTTTCTTAGACAATGGTGATACTAATTGTTGTTTGGACGTTTCTTCACTTTCGTTTATAATTATCTTTCTGCATCGATTACACATTGATAAATTTTTAACTCTCGCCAGATTTGGGCATAAATGTTAAGTCAGTGAGTAAAACAAAACAATATTTAAAATTATTCCGATATCATTTTGGTAATAGATGTCTGGTGCTTTAATGATTCTATCTTAACAAAGTCATTTAAAAAAAAAACCTCACGAAATGAAATTGGCACCATTGCTGGGGTAATTAGAAAGTTCTTCTTTGCGCTATCTCATGTTACAACATCATTTTTAAAGTTTGCTATAAAATAAGGATATTGATTTAAATTCAATTATAACACAAATACTGGTGGCCAAGAATTAACTTATGGATTGCAGATGTACTGAATGTTTCAAAAGTTTTAACGGTTTGTGCTGGAAATACAAAGGAATTTTTAAACAGAACAAGTTAGAAACTGGAAAAAAAAGATCATTTCCGTTTGAATTTCAAGAAGAACCACAAGATTCAAAAGCAGAAAATAAAAAATTTTTTTTTTCTGTTTTGCACTAAGTCAGATTTTAGTATGTAAGCTAGTGCTTTCATAAAATTGATAATTTGGCAAAGTCTTCAGGTTATATTTAAATGCCCAATATATTGTGTGAGTTTCAATTTATAATATCTATCCCTATTAAAATATTGATAACTTGTTTTAGAGGTATTACGTTTTGTTACGTAAACAAACAAAATGCAACAAAATTTTTCATTTATAAAAAGTTTCAAAAGATATAGAAACAAATATTTGATTAACACAATATCCCACACGGTGGAATACATTATTATTGCCTTATTTTACATGATATTATGGGATCCGTGATATTCTATAACCATCACCAGTTTTTCCCGCATTGATCTTAAGTTTTCTCCGGTTTTCACTTTGTAGCAGTTTCTATTACTTCCCACAGATGTTATTTGTTTGAAGATTGTTTTCCATTCTTATATACAACCTCTTTTAATGGTGGACCATAAGTATTGGATTAATATCTTGAGAGGCTAGTAGCCATTCTATTAATCTTTGAAACCTTTCTCTTCTTCTTATCATTTTTATCGTTCTGGGTCCTCTTTTTTTTCGCAATTTCCAATATTTTTATTCTCATCACTCAGTAACTTTAAAATCTCTTCTTTCTATTTTGAGGATATATCTGTTTATGACCTATAATAATCTTACTTATTATAAAACGCAGGTTGTGTGTTTGTATCAGTTACGTTTGTATATTGGATCGGATTTCCTACATTTTTCAACCAATTTCAACAAAACTTCACAGGACTACGTAAAATTACCTTGCGGTGGTTCTAACAGCGCCAAAATTTGGAAAAACACAATTGTTTTTGCACAAAATCAATTTGAAAACACGATTAAGAGGCATTAATGAAAGGGGAACAACTCACTTCGAGTTATACTTATTATAAAACCCAGGTTGGTTGTTTGTGTTTGTGTGTGTGTTTGTGTTCGTTTATATATGGGATCGGATTTCCTACATTTTTCAACCGATTTCAACAAAACTTCACTTTTTTTTGGCAGGTAGTATTTCTTATTGTCTTGCACACTTTTTTCTTTATTTTTACATTCAGAATGCTTTAAAAATTCCATTTACAAGACAATTGTTTATGATAAAATTCTATTCAATCATAACGATTGAAAACAATGTTTTTGTTTGAGTTTGGGTTTGACCAATTAATAAAAAAAAAACTAATTAAGACATGCGTGTCCGTCAACCTTAAACAAATAATCTTTGTCAATTTTATTTTTCAGTCTGTATGATTGTCGATACTTGATCTATCTCTTACTGTTACATCCCCGGGCAACGCCGGGCTCTACTGCTAGTATTTATATATATGAAATGAAAAGAATAAATATCAATAAATCTCCTATTTATATATCTATTTACATGATGAACAAACATCGAATTGCATAATAAATTCTCACACCACTAAGTTATTGTAAGTATCAGAAGAACAAATTTGCATGGCGTATTTATCGTATGGTGTAAGTATATACTAAAAATTCAATCAGCTTAGCTTGGTTAGTACCAATTTTATTCTAAAAATATTGACTTGCGTGAAAAAAAATATGTCGTGGAGAAAAAGCCATCCAATTTGTTGAAGAAAGATTGCAGGTGATGCTACTTACAATATTCTTTCTTATCAGACGTCCTCTATCCTATTTGGAATATAAAGAATAAAATTACTGAAGCTATACTTTAGCACTGCAAAAATTTGGCAGCATCATTGATACATAATGAAAAGATATTGGAGCTGAAGATATGCGTTGCGTATTTACAGTCATAACTCGAAAACTTCCAAAGTTTATGTTTTCACAATAATTACATATAAAAAAGAAACATTTAATTAACTAACCTTATTTCCATTCAACCAGAGAAACTTCAGGTTTTGAAAGTCTTCAAAACTTTCTAAACTTGTGATTTTCCTGCAAAACAAACATTTATAATGTTTCTAATTCAAAGTCACTTTTAATGAATCTTATGGCAACATTTGTTTGTTTCGGTCAGAAGAAAACATCTTTCATCCGAGGTGTAAAGAAACTTTAAACAAAGCATTTGGAGTTCAATATTACTTTTTTAGTAATTAATTTTTGGTAATTAATTGCATGACACAACAATCGACAATATAAATATTTAAAAAAAGGTAAAAATGACAGTTATCATTTTAAAACACATGTCAACTCTTACGAACTAATTTTGATCCAGAGTAATGCATTTTCGAATTAAATCTAAAAAATAAAATAGCCATATATATGGTCTTAATGTGAAATGCAAAATGACTTACTGTTTTGCAAAATAAATCTCGTCGACTCTCCTTGTGTAGACAACTTGTTTTTGTTTTTCTTTAAATTCGCTCATGCTCTTAACAAACTAGAAAAACAAACTATTATTAATCAAAATCCAGTTGTGTCTAGTTTATTATTTAGTATTGTAATGGTCAATACCAAGAGAAAAAAAGCAGTGGGATGAGATTGCCATAGAGATGTTGGCAGCCTTAGATGACTTTGAAATAGATAAAGTTATTGAAGTGTTAAATGCAGTCTATAATAGTAGTACTAGTATTGATGTTCTTTGAGCAACAATATGCATGCCAGAATATTTAAATTGATCAATCTTTATAGCCTGGCGAAAGAAACCCGTTGCAGCGAATGTGAACTTCATCGAATAATTAGTTTGAAAAAAAAAAAACTACAATAAAAAAAATAATAATTAAGCTGCTAATTAATAAAGTTTGGCGTAGAATCAAATAAAATAAAGGCGATAAATGTGATTTTCTACATGACATTGGAACAAGAAATGCTATCTGGATGGTCAGAATGTACTCAGAATGCTAAATAGAAATACAGAAAGAACTTGTATCGGGTTTTCATATTTTACACAAAGACATTTGATTAAGTAAAATACGAAGAAATTTTTGAAATTTTAAGAAAACTTGACATTCACAGGATGTTTCATGGCTACCTTAACAGAGCATCATAGACCAAGACACAATGCACCGGGCCTCCTCAATGCATTAGGATAAGAATGTTAATAGCCAATAAAATTAAACATCAATTTTCTTTGAAATTTGAAATAAAATCAATGGTTAAACATGCTGTAAAGCGATCATTAACCAACACAAACTTTGAACAATGTATCATAAGCATTGACAAGCACAAATATTTCAACATATAAATGAAAATTACAGATGGAAATAGTACAGTATGAATCAACACGAATTTTTATGAGATTTGGTGGGAGTTGCGCTTGAAGTCAACAATGTTCAGGATGTCATATTTCATGTACGAATGTAAGCTAATTCAAATGATGCCTTTCCATTGTACCGCAAAGTGTATTTGTCAGTTTCAATCTTGAAAACTGAATGTACCCTATATACGTGAACACTTTAAGTGCAATTTCAACAGTTGTTTGAAAATTATTTTTCTGTACAAATTTCCTTCTTGCTTACTAGATCTGGTTTTCAAGTCTGGCTTGAGTGATGTTTGAATCGCAAAGTCCGAGATATTTTTTGTTCTCCAAATCAACTGATTCATACATATAGAATGGCTAACGTTCAAATCCCAACCGCTTGCATGGTTCACAGTGGATTACTCTTCTCACTCAGTCATACCATTTTTTTTTACTTCCTATGATCCAACTTGCTGTTGGGTCATAGAAGTAAAAAATGATGATTTTATAACTCGATCCGCATTTTTCCTGTCTATTTTTCTTTCTCCCCTGTTACTTCAAGTCTCTTTCCTTATTAATTGCAGCTTTAGACAAAATGTTGTTGTTACTAGGAATGGATTGACGGCTATTCTGTAATATCAATACCATTGTCGTCTGAGTAATCTAAATTCTTTTCCAGATCTCCACTTCAGTCTGCCCGTAATTATCTTTCCGACATTTCCTCATGCATCAATGAATCCAACACTCACTCTAGAGCAGAGATGACGAACCACTGACCTGCGAATCATGAGCTGACCAACCACCAACCTTCCAGTGACCTACGAAGAGTCAGTGAAATAACGTCATGAAATATGGCTCGCCATGAACTATATCAACCACCAGGAATCGCCTTGGTATGAATATGAGTGTTGCATATGTTAAGCTGAAAACAACAAAGTATAAATCTCATTAGCAACTAAGATGCAGCAAAAAGTTTCTCATTAAAAAATATCGGTAAGTATATGAGTGATACATTTATGTTTATGAAAAATTTAAAACTACCAAAAAAACGACCCGTCAACTATTTCAGTATTTCATCGCTTCTAAAGTTCTAAGCTAATATCTTGGTATATTTTTCGCTTTTCCCCCCTTTTCTCTTGGATCTACTGGTCATTGACAATATCACTGGGACCGGCCGCCTTGCTTGAATAAAGGCATTTGTTTCAATCTCCAAAGTTCAAAGGGATTTTATTTCTTTTATTTTCAATGACTGCTTCATGTATGTCAACGTTCAAAACCAAGTCAGATGCATAATTCTCACTAAATTACTGTCCCTACCTTGATGTTCTATTTTGATATTTTTGGAGCTAGTTTAACACTTTGACGCTTCAGATTTACACTTTACTTTTTTCGTGTTTAACAATCTTCGCCTTGATGTAAAATGTTCTATTGTACTTGTTTTGGGATATTATTGACAATGATTCTGCTTTTCTCTTCAAATATCCTGTGCATAGCGATGTCCTTTCTACGAAAGCAATTTCATTTTTATTGCTGTTGTTTGAATTTTTTGTAATACCCTTTTCCTTTGCAATTTTTCTTTCTAGTTCGGTTAAATTTATTTTTACTCCTTCATTATCGTTCCTCGAATGATTGATAGTTTCGAACTTTCTTTGCTTTGTTGGATGCATTAATAATAAAACTATTTCAGATCTGCCTTTCTTAACATTTTACTGCGGTAATGTGTATTGTTACAACTTCCCTTCAGTTCCAAATATCTCGTGACCCTGTACAACTCTTCCTAATAACCCTAATATTCATAGACAGAATTCTTTTTCTTATATTCCACATTGCTGATTCTTGTTGATCACAGTTCATTAATTTCCATAAACCTATACTTTGTATGGAAAGTGAACCCTTCTGTTGGTTATCGCCCTTGGCGAATGTTTTTGACCTAGTCAATTCTACTGTTGTATTTATGACTATGAGGAATATCCTCAGTTTGGTATTCCTTCTAGTAATTGGCAATTTGTTCTAATGGCAAAAACGTTTCGATTTTTAGCCTGGTTACTCATTAGTAGTAGTAGTAGTAGTAGTTGTTGTTGTTGTTGTTGAAACAAGTCAGTAGGATAACCTACTTAATCTTACTCGCAACATTCCCCTTGGCCGCTTGTTTGTTATATCTGCGTTACTCAGTCCAGGCTGCACGAAGGAGTTGAACTTCTGCGGAACTTATTAACAGACTTATCTTGTTTTGCTATTTCAATTGAAGACTAATTATATACAAATTTTGCTAATCGAAAAATCAATTTGCATGATTTCATCATTGTTTGCAGTGATTTTCTGTTTAGGCTGTCAAACCTTAAATTAGAGAAATATCGTTTTGATAGAAAGTTTTTGTATTGTTGGAATTTTTTTTCAAATAATTTGCTTGGTCTAACAAAATTGAAGTTTCTAACAGATTATGATAGCGACCTATAATTCAGAGGCACCATTACCATTGTAAATGTTCTTACTGAATTCCTTTTTACTGATTAGGCACTTGACAAAGACTGAAAAATGAATGGTGTAGTGATAGGGGTACCATTGTTGTTTATTTCCGACGGGATCATCAAATATGTAGCTGTTGTATTATCATCGTTGTAGTGATTGAGTTACCAATATTTAACTTGGGCTAGGAAAGATGAGATTAAGGACAATGCGTGAAAGCAATGCAATTTATATTTGACGTAAATAGCACATAGAATAAAATACAAAACTGAACTGAATGATTCCAAAACATAACAATAGATTTATTAATGTTTGATGTACATGCATGCGAACTGAAAAGGTAGGACAGAGTCGTGTCCCTTTGATTAGGTATTAGTTGTACCGGAGTTCATATTAAGAAAGTTTGGAATTGTGAGTTTGCAAAGTTGGTAAAAATTCAGGAGTGATTTCAGAATTCGTGAATGTTAATTGTCTTTAACGTTTGGTCAGCAATCACTAAGACGGAAGTTGGTGAAGGTCACATCTTGAGACGTGCGAGAGAGATGAATGAAAAGAAAGCTACTCCTCTTTTTTAAAAGTTCACACGTGTTCGATTTATATAATGGTCAAGTGGCTCCTAGCATATGAGCGGGAAAACAGATTGGTCGCGTGCAGGCGGTTTGATTGGTCGGAACTGACCAATCAGCAAGCTAGATTGGAGGTGATTGACCAATGAATACTTGCTATATTGTATGAAAGTAGAATGTTACTTACCAGATAGGAAGAGTGCATTTCCTAAAAATAGGTAAGGCTGGTTTGTTGTGGAAGATCCCACAATGGCAATGTGGTAACAAAATCAAGAAGACAAATTATTTTATCTGACAAAAAATTGAAACCTTATGCCATGTTAGATTTTATGATGACAAAATATCGCTACAGAAGTCATTTGTCTTTGTAGAATAAAAATTCAGATTGCAAGTTGATAGTTTTTTAAAAGATCAAACTGTTGTATCTATGACTATGAAGAATGTCCTTGGTTTGAATATATCCCACAAGTATACAATATGTCAGATTTTATGCAATTCAATACTTTCACAATAAATTAGTACTATTAATTGATGTTTGTAAAGATTTTATATAAGGAATATATCGTGTGAGTTTCAGCTTATAAAATTTCATGTTTCAGCTTAAAAATATTACTGACATGTTTGAGGAGTGTAGCGTTTTATTTTATAAATGACAACATTTCTTTTATAAATCCAAAAGATACAGGCCACAGAAACATAAATTTGATAAGCATAATATACCATATACGAGAATAAATTCTTATTTTACTATTTTATATATTAATATAGATTTTGTGGCATTATTGAAGCATCATCAGTGTTTCTTTTGATAACTTTTTAACTGCTTTCACTTTAACATTAAATGCAACAATTTTTTATTGCTTCCCAGGTTTCTTTCTTGTTTGGATATTGTTTTCCATTCTCATTTTTTAATAATAAACTACGATTTATTTTATTGGATTGATATCTGGAGAAGCTAAAGACGATTCTATGAATATGTTGTCCTTGAAATCTTTATTGGCAAGGTGGGCAATAGTCAATAGTCAGTTTAGACAAATGTGAAAGACCATAGTCTACTCTTTGGCTCAAGGCTTCTTGCTTGTTACTTGTACCACTCATAAAATGCATTTTCCCAAGAATTCTCCGCATTTATCTTGAAGCCTAATCAACTTTGAATGA